TTTGAATTCACGCAGTGTCTGTCCTCTGACCTTATTCTTCTCCTTCAAAATTGTGTTGACTATTCCAAGTGTTACCTCTCCATATAAAGGTTAGAATCATCTCGCCAATTGCCGAACAGCTTGCTGAAATTTTGATTGGGATGGCATTGAATGTATAGATCAAGTCAAGAAGCACTGACAGCTTGCAATATTGAGTCTTTCTATCAATTAACATGGAATATCTCTCTATTTATTTAGTTCTTTGATCTCTTTCCTAAGGATTTTACAGTTTTCTTTGTATAGATCTGGACATGTTTTGTTAGATTATATTATGAAAGATTTTTATGGTGGATGCATATTATGAATTTATCCAGACCTATAGAGTGTTCAACCCCAAGAGAGAACTCTAATGTAAGCTATGGATTTGAATGTTAATGATGAGTCCGTACAGGTTCCCCAGGTATAACCCTGTGCCACTCTGGTGAGGGATGTGGATGATGGGGAAAACCATGCGTGTGTGGCATTTGCAGGTATATGGGAAATCTTTGTAATTTTTGCTTAGTTTTCTTATGTAGTTTGCTAACTTATAACTGTTCACAAATAAATTTAATTTAAAAATTCCCAGATAACTTTTCATTATGTAAAATTTCTCTGTCTCAAAAATTTTCTTACAATAGTCACTTAATTTGAATATTAAAGTTTTGTTCAAGTGAGAATATTTTATTATTGAGATAATAATTCTCAAATATTGTTGCCTCTTTTTTGGTATAAATTTAAAATGTGAATACAAACTAAATGTGTTTAAATGTGTTTTCTTTATAGTTTCTTCTATTTTTTTGAATTCCCTGAGGAATATATTGCATTTCTGTCTCCAGCAGTTTAATCTGTATATTTGTAATAGTTTCTGGTGCTTATATTTCTCAATTGTTGATTTGGTTAAAAGTCAAATAACACCTCATATGTATTATATAGAGGAGTTTTCTATAATATACATATTAGATTATGTATATACACATATCTATAGACTGATCAAAATTACAGCACTTATTTAAATTTTTAAAAAAAATTACAGTAGAAGATACATTGCCATCAATCTCAAAATACTCCTGCTTAAATCGTATTTATCCCATTGTTCTTGCCATCTTTGGAAGCAGTTCTGGAAATCCTCTGTTATGAGTCTTTAGTTGTGCTGTTGTGGCTGCCCTGGTGTCCTGAGCAGATTCAAAACAATTAGGGTAGTTTCCATCAAATAAAACATAGCAGTATGTCTTCATCCTCCTTATTCACTGGATATGGTACCATATGAATTCTGACTCTTCCCCTAAATCAAAATGACCATGAAAGATAAATGTTTGGAATCATTTTGAGGAGGATTAATGGAAATATGTGTTTTACTATAGTAAAAAAAATTTAATAAACATTCACTGTATTTTTATCAAATATATATATATATATGTTATGATTTGGTAAAGAAATACATTCTTAGGCAATGTGATGGTGTCCCTCAGTAACTCACATAATTCTGGATGAAAGTGAGCAAGGTTTCTACATAATAATAAAGTACAATCTGGATAGGTTATACAGAAACTAGAATACTTGGACTAGCAATGTCTAAATAGAAGATCTTTACCTGTAAACTGTGCCAATTAGAAGTTTTCTGTTTTCCATTATGCTAGATGGATTATTTTTCTGCTGTGTTCAGAGGAATCTGATAAATGTACTTTCCCATCCTGAAAATATGTGCCTACTTAATTGCTTGAAACACTGCTTAGTTTTATTATGACTGGTTCCTCTAATAAATATACTTTAACGTTAAAAACAAGGAACAAATCAATAATAGGGAAAACAGAGGGAAAAATTAATGTATTAGAGTGTGGCAGGATATTTGGCCATATTTATTACAATTGTTTTATGTGTTTTATATATTTTATGGCCTATTAGTTTGGTTTTTAATCTGTATATATATTTAACTTTATAGTGTCCTATAAGTTAAATAACGAATCTGAGGCTAACAAACTAAAAGGGTGTGGAAGAAAAAAAATAAAATGTTATGTCCATGTACCCATTCCCTATGATGAATGTAATCTGCAAATATGTATAACAAATGTTACAATATTTAAGGAATTGCATGTCACAAAAGAGAATTTTGTTTGGTTTCAGACTTAATGGTACTTGCAGGTACAGGTAGAGAGATAAGTCATCAAAATTTTATCAGTAATCTTATTCTTTAAAAATTTTCTGAATCTCTCCTATTGATTGACTGCTGAAATTGGAGATTTAGATGGCTGGGAGTTTTGTAAATTGTATCTCTATCTTAGATCGCTAAATTTTTCATACCAGGGTCAACTGTCCTTGTATATTTAACTGTTTAGTCAAAGATACATTTTTATGCTATGGGTCTAAAATATTTCAGTAAGTAGACATTATTTAGTATCATGGATGATGGGGATTATTAATCTTTGTGTATTGAAACTTTAAAGTAGTGGTTATACTTTGCATCTAGCCTCCTGCAGTTTGTATCCTGGCTTTTCTGCTTACAAGATGGGTGGTTATGATCAATTGGGTTAACTTTGCCTGTGTGTCTTAAGTGTACAATAGGAATAATGATGATAGTATCTACTTCATAAGATTGTTGTGAGGATTAATCTTGAAACTTGAAATCCTCATAACAGTGCCTGGCACATGGTAAGCATTAGATAAATGTTTTCTATTATTACTAATATTAGCAGTTATTACCAGTAATGGTTTCATTAGACCTCATAGGCTGGGACTGAAAGGTCCAAGTGCCTTCATCATGTGACTAAGCTCACAGTTGCTGATGTCAGTTGTTAAGTTTCTCCATTTTGAGGTATTATAGGACCCAGTTATTGAATCTTTATGTGGTTCCCATATATTATTATTTGTTCTCTTCTGATAGATTTTGATTAGCAGGCATCATCCCTGCCAGATGCTGGTCATTGCAGAAATTTTGTAACTCAGCTTACACAGTGATCATCCTCTAAGAACCCACTTAAACTTATCAGATAATATTGGGTCTTGTTAGCAAATAATGGTGAGTTCATTGAAGGACGACCATTAAGTGAGGAGGGGAAGGACGTATCTACCTGGCAGAGTGCTTTGGAATTTAAGTATGCTCGGGGAGAGAAGTCACTCTCTTTGTAACATCTCATTTTGAGAATGTATTTTTCTTTTTGCTTCACTGTTATTATTTTCTCAGTGATAAGAAACACTCCCCCTTTTTAAAAAAGAGAAACAGGCTTTAAACAAATTATTTTAAAAGTCATATGTGTGCAGGTGGAGAAGTTGAATAATTAGCTGCTTTTGAAAGCGACATAAGCTTTCTTAGCCCATTAGGCTACACTTCAGGGATGGAAAGAGTTAATACAGTTTTAAAGATGCCGAAGTTACAACCAGGGAGTATCTGAAAGCTCTTGGAGAATTTGACACAATGAGTTAGAGCCACCCTAGTTTCATTTCCCTCTAGTTCAACTTAGTAATGTAAGTAAACCTGTAGTCTATAATTGTTAAATAGCAGTATTTGCTTGCCTCCTAGTGGCATATTGTATACTCTAATTAAGGAATTTTAAAGTAGTATTTGTTGAAAGACTACTGTGATAAGCTAATAAAGCTGAAAAATGTGAAGTACTAAAACTTGTTAGTGATAGTATTGCCATGTGGAATCGAGATAAATTATTTTCCATATAAAATTGGGCAAAAATCCCCCAGGAAAAAATAAAATGTATCTTATATTATAAAGATGAATATATTTACAAAAGTATGTTTTTGTTTCAGATCAGAGTTTTTGGTTTCATTTAATGGACCTGTTTTGCATTTAAACATAGACAAGCATTACTGTTAATAAGATTTGGATTGCTTTGTGTACATTTGTTCCATGGAATTAGATTAATTTTTATTATCATTTGTATGTTTCAATATCTTCAGGTAATCATAGAGATAATGGTTTTTAAAAAGTCTGTAGTTCATTTTCAAGTAGTTTTTGAAAATTCTGATTCTTCAATTTGAATAAAATAATTTAAGTGGCAACCATGAAATATAGGCGAGAGCAAACTCTTAAAATGATGAAAATGAAGGTTGACTTAATTACTACTTTAAACAGTAAAAAATTACTTTCCATGTGTAGAAATGTAATTTAAAATGGAAAGAAAGTCACATGAAAAGAATTCTGATGAAGGTCAGTGGGCGGGAAGAAAAGTGATATCCCTTTGTTCAGTATTAAAAATGTTTAATTAATTGCTTGCCAAACAAAATAATTAAGATGGCAATTACGTTTAAAATAGCAACAATGTAATTGCAGCTGCTGTGATATAAAGCTAGGAAACAAAATGTTAATCTGGAATGAACAGTTTAAATATGAAATTATGATATACTTGGCTTCCTGTAGTACAGCTGTCAAGCTTGGGCAGTTCGCTGGTCAATAGTGACATTCTATGTGTCAGTGAGCAGAGTCTCTTGATACCGTAACCCGCAGTTCACACATTACTGAAGCTCCAACTGTCGAATATTCAAGTCCCCTGATATTATTGCAGCTTCCAGACTCTCCTGACTGGCTCATGTTTCATTCTTTGGCAATTTGCCCTAATGATATCCCTCAGGAGCTTTCAGCCACTCTTCCTTTCCATATTTAATCGTGTTGTATTAATCTGAGAGATGTGCGAACTGTACTGCACAAATTGTAATTTCCTACAGTATTTTCTAAGCTGCTCACGTAATTTTTCAGTTTTACTTTTATTTATGTTCTGAATTTCAACCCCAAACTATATTTTCAGGTGGTTATAACTATCTACATATGATTCCCAAGAAGCTACTTTTTCTGTTTATGTATTTGCAGAGGGGCCTCTGAGACATAAGACTTCTTACAAGTAGAAGTGGTAAAGACAGTGTGAGCTGTGTCATTGTGTAAATCGTTCTGTGATTATCATTCATCTTTGCTACCTTGTACATGCCTTTTTGTTTGGAGGGTCAGCAGCTACTTATTATTGTTGTCCTTCTACAAATTCTAGTTAACTGCCTGTCTCCATGGATCGGCTGCTCTGCTCTACCCCATGTACTGGCAGCACATATACATCCCAGTGCTTCCTCCGCACCTGCTGGACTATTGCTGGTAAGCTGGGTTTGCTAGGCCCTTTTAATAAACCTGGGTTTCATGACTAGGGAAAAAATTATTCTTATATGTGGAATAAATCACAGAAACTTTACTCTTAGATTAATATTAAGTATTGGTGAATGCTCTTATGAGTGTCAGAGTACTTCTTTCCATAGTTAGCAAAAATTTATACTTGGTAAACATAAAATTCTCTAAATTCTGTGTTTTATCTGCAGCCATTTAGACAACTAAATGCACAGATGGACAAGCAAAACTTTAGTTTTTGGTTAATAAAATTGAACAGAAGTTGTGCTGTTAGAGAGTCTGATATCCCCGGTGTCGGAATTTGTCTGGCAGATCTGCTAGTAGCCACATTGTGTCTATTAAGACACACTTTTGTTACTTTTATTTACCTTAGGACTCCTGTTCCTTTACTTCTTCTGCAGCCCTCCAGATACCAAGTACTGACAAAAGGTTCCTTCTAATACAAGAATTTTCAAGTTTCTGATTTACATAAAAGTTTCAGCCTAAAGCCACTATGAAAAGCAGGGTTAAAAAGTTTGGGGAGTAATGCTGAAGAGGTTGCTAGCATTAGAAACAACTCTCAATGCTCTTATGAATTGGAATTTAGTCAGGCCTTTAGACATCGTGATGGCAGTGACCAGTGACCACCTTGTTCGCTTCCCGTGGAAGAGTCTTTGTACTTGGACTCAACGTATAGCAGCTTTGAGAACTTCATTCGAATGGGTGGACACAGCGTGGTCTTCATTGCACACTCATCTTCTGCAGGCCTAGCTTAATCTGTGATGAATTTAATGTGATTTTTATCCTCTAAACTTCATATGTAATGCATCATTTTGGCCTTAATGTGTTTGCTTCTTTAATGGCTAATTTTAGTCAAAAACAAATCTCTGTTAGAGTTAAGGTACTTACTTAACATTGTATGTCATCAAAAACAGATTAAAGTATTTAAGTATTAAAATTATTTAAATGAACATGTACAAGTTTTTATTAAGTCAGAACAAGTGACTATAATGACAGGACATGGACTTGGCCACAAATTATTATACTGCTAAATTGTGTGTTTCCACAGTATTGACAATTCTGTGAAATAGGTGTGCAGTGACCTGCCACTGCTTTTTGGCCTTGGAGAAATAGAAAGGAAAAACAGTTTGTCAGACCATAGGAATGAAATTTAATTATATTATGGGTTGTCACACACAAGTTTAAGTATAAAGCTAGCTCTATAAATAGGCTTTTTTGTTTGTTTGTTTTTACAGTAGTTTTTTCTTTGACCAATGTATCTACACTATTTTACTCTGCCATAAAGCAGAGGCTGCAATTTATTCATGTTGACATATTCAATAGATCTTCACATGTAATTTTTAGTGAAGTTTCTTTTAAAAAAATTTTTTTAAAGTGTTTGGAAATATATTGTATACAGTTTAAAGTATATGTCAAGTTTGTGTTCTAAGAACTAAAACTTCTGATTAGGAGGTTTTAGAATTATATTTTATGTTATAAGAGTAGTGCCATCTTAATTTTTCTGAAAGATGTTTTCCTCTCTTATTTTTTTTTTCTGGTTCCAGGAATCGAACTCACAACCTTGCACTTGCTAGGCAGGTGCTATGCCACTGAGCTAAATCCCCAGCCCCTGTTCTCCTTTCTTAAATAAAACCCCTTTCAGCTCCTTTTTCTGTAATGAATTTCATATTTAGGACATTCTCAAATGTCACTTAGAAGCTACTCAATGTTCCAGGCAGTTCTGTACTAATTCTTCACAAAAGTGTCTTTCTGATACTTTCTGTCCCTATCATCAGATCCTTCTTTTCTACTATTTATATTAAAATGAAAGAAGCTTCTTCTGTATTTCAGTTCCTGGAATCTTCTTTCCTGTTGTTGTTGTTGTCCGAAGTGTCCCTTATGACAGGTTCTTTAGCGTCTCCGTGTAAGGCATGTCTCTGGACCAAAGAGTAGAGCAGTGATGCCTCAACAAGAGATTCTGAAAGTTACAGTGATGAGCTCTGTTTCCATTGTAGGAAGTGGACAATATGGCTTAATTTTCTTAAAGAAGTAGTTGAGACTGTCGCGGTCTTCTATTGTTAGCAAACCTGAGGAGCTAAACAATTTTGAATAAAAAAATGATGCTCTTTCCTTTGTGTCCTTGAGGTTAGAATGATATGGGTAGAGTTCTCTTTGTTTTAAATGGAGAAAAGTATTACAGATTTTCTCTTTAATTTCATGGTCTTTGAATAAATAATTTTTTATATTCCAATTCAAGATAGTATCGCAAAGGCTACATGTATCTTTATTAATTTCTTGAAATGATTGGGGCTTTCCAAATCTGGAGATAATCCTAGTTTGACAGAGTATTTCTATTTTTGCACCTGGTAGCCTTGGTATGGTGTAGACTGTGGAGAGCCGTAATGCCATCTTGTGACCATGGATGAACATCGCATCTTGGTTCAAGGATAAGCCTTTCCACTTTGTTGCTCCATCCACCCATCCATCCATCCGTTTGCTCATCAACAGTTAGTGAACACCTGTTTGCCAATCTGTGAAGATGTTATACAATGATTAAGACTTACTTTTTGCTCCTGGGAGATTCACCGATAGGAAAAAATACATACATACATACATACATGTGCTTATGTGTACCTACACATGCACACTAGCACAGAGTAGCAAAAATAAAAGAACTGTCGATGGAAAGATAGGAGGAAGTGCCCCACAGTCCGGGGCAGGTTAGGAAAAACTCTTGGGAAGAAGTAACATCAATTACATTTTTCCCTTAATGAACTACATAAGAGTAGTGTAATTTGGCAAATCTATGACCTTACCAGGTACTGTTGAGCTGTCTGAATCCATAAACACATAGGAGGTGGTATGGCCACAGGATCAGTAAAATTATAATAGATTATTTTTTGTTCAGGAAATGTTACATCAGTCTATTTGTTTAGCACATATTTCAACTTATCTTTCTGTGACTCAATCAGATTTAGCTTCTAAGAACAGGTTTTAGAAAAATAAATGGAAAATTGTGATCTCAGACTGGGTCCTTACAGTCTCTGTCATGGGGGTCTCTCTGTAAGAAACTTAAAAAAAAACTTTCTTGAGTAAAGATTCATTGCTACCAAAAAGAAGAAGCAGTCATAACAGAGCCTTCTGTATCCCATCTTTGAAAATAACTTTACTGATAGAAAGACCTATGGCAGTTTTGTACATGGCTAATAAAATATCCATGTTGTCAAGAGTCTCTCCCTGATTTATTTACATCATAATCTAATTAGGAAATTTTAGCTAGGGTTGCAAAATTAATTTTCCTTAGTTTTGGCTTATTTTATGATAGGGTATACACATTCCAGTGTGAAAAAATGAGAGGCACCTATACAACTAACTGTATTCTGTAAAATATCATAATTATTTTGAAAATTATGCTGTAGATTGATAATATTTGTAGTTCAAACATTTATATGTTGGATTTTGTGAGAAATCTGTGAGAAAAAAAACTACGTGGAGATAGTCAGTGATTCCATTAAAAAAGGTTTCCAATTACTGTATTATTAAAGCCTTCATGAGAACTTTGTCTTGAATTTCAAATTCTAGCTTAAGAATTTCTATGAGCTCATTGTTTACATTTCAAAAGATAGGTAACTTTCATAAACTTTTAAAGGTGTTTCTGTTGGTATATTTCCTAGGATTTCAATACATTATTTACCAGTTTTGTTTATCATTTTTAAAATTTCGATCCGTAACATCCCTTTAACATCGTTAAGATGGACATAGTATTATTTTCAGAAGTTTGATATATTTTGATTAGCACTCTTTTATGAATGGTTTGGAATTTGAGATATGGATGGACTCTGTATTATAAGTCTTGAGGGTGTAATATCCTAGGCAGGAGTAAACTGGAAGTTCCCACAGTAACCTGAATAATTTTATACTATTTTGGATGTTTGGAGGGCTTGACATATTTAAGACCCTGGGAGTTGCCTAGCTTGTTTTGGGAAAATTGCCCAAACCTGACAGTGGGAGACCAGAATACTGATATGCATTTTATGTCTTCTCTGGAGTCCCAGAAGGAATCCCAGGATAAGACCTTGAACTAGGAAAGTAAACCAGCCTTTCCTTACTTAAGCAGAAGTGGAACAGCCCACATTTGCTCTCCTGTTAGGTCTTAAGGATATCAAAGCCTGTAAATAAACCTCAACTTCTAGTCAAATGAAGTAAGCAGTATATCAGATCAATTCCAGATTGTAGCACAAATATTAAAGAATAGGAAAGAACAGAGCTACCAAAGGTAAAGACAACTGGGGATTAAAATTTAGTATAATAATGTGATAGACTAAAATGTACAGACTAATGAACATTTCTATTTTGGATATATAGGTTACTGTTTACCCATCCTTTAATAAACTTGCTATTTTTTGAGGTTACTTTGAAATCTGTATATTGTCCAAGGTGCTTGTTAGTTTTATCTGTTAGTGGTTCTCAGTAGCAAATTGAACATATAGAAGGCTGGCAGCTCTGTTTTAATAATGGCAATGGTGTTTAGAAAATTATGCAAATCTTTTGAGAAAGAGGATTATCTCTCTGCATTACTAGAAAAGGTTTGCATTAATAAACAAAGATGTCTCTAAAAGAATTGCCAAAAATGTTTAATTTTAAATAGGTATTTGTTCACATATCGTCTGTCACCTTTGTAGACATCTGTCCATTCTCACTTTATCCTAGCAGGTAATAATTTAGTTTGAAATACCCTGTTGAATAATTTCCTAGCAGATATTGCTATAATTATTAGTAATTTAGATTTGATATATTTAAGTTAGTTAATGTACATATTATGTGTTAGAGTATAAGGCCCATAAGGGGTTATATCCCATCTATATTGTTAATTAGTCTTCCCAAACCCATGTCCCAAGGCCTGGCATGCACATGTTGTAAACATCATGTTTTGAATTAATTCAAATAATCCTTACACAAATATTTTAAATTTATTGTTTTACTAATATCAGTGAAAATAGAATAACTCTCAATTTTAAAATTTAAATAAAGGAGGTGTATAAGAGGAAAGAGCACAGTAATGGAGGAACTTTTGTGTTTTTGTACTTCTAGTTCCACGATAGTGCCTTGCATCCAATAATGACTAATTGGTGACTAGTTTAATAAATACACAGTAGTATAGTAGGTATAAAATAATGAAGTTATATTAAGAAAATCTTTAAGAGTCTGAATAAGAAAAGATATGCAAAATAAATGCCAATAATTTTGATGATTATTTAGAATATATTTACTACAAAGTATATGGAGAAGTTTTAACTGAGATTATGGCCTAGACCCTGCTACTTTTCTTAGATAAAAAAATGTTTCTGGGCATAAAAAATCTTGATTTTATTTTAAATTATTTGTGATTTTTAAAATATATAACAACTTTATTATAATGGCCTCTAAGATTAAATTTGAATATCTTTTTGAATATCTGTTTTATGGTATGATGGAACTGAGCTTTAAATAAATTTAATTTTTAAGCATTTAAGCTACTTATATTATTACCTCACTTTTAATGAACTATATGAATCTATAAATATTTATTTATATTTTGATTTAGTGCCCCAATGCCATACCTGATTGGAATACACTCCAGCCTCTTAGAGGTGAGTATCTTTCAGACATGAGATAGTGATGAAATTAACTCATAACTAAAATTGGGCAGTTACAAATTTCATATTTAGGATATACTTAAATAGTCATTTTCAAAAGGTAAAATTGAAATTAATTTTATTTAAATTAGTATACAAATGATAACTTTTAATAGCATGAAGCTCATGAAAATAGGTTATGTTTGGTAGAAATATGGTAAGTATTAACTACTAAAAGTTTTAATTCTTGGTGAACTACTTTTTTTTATGGAAACTTGAGATTTTTTTATTTCTCTTTTTCAGCTCTATATTATGAAAGTCAAAATTTACATACTTATTTATTGTCTTTTTTTTCTGGTACCAGGAATTGTCCTGAACCTTGCGCTTGACAGGCAGATACTTGTGCCACTGAACCATGTCCCTGGCCCTTAAAGTTTACATACATATGACTCACAAATTTACACATTTTTATCTTACAAATTTTATTATTTTCCCTATTCAGTACACTTTTTAAAAGCATAGTTTTTCCACTCCTTTTAATTAGAATATACCTTCTTTTTTGTTTTAATTTTTAGTTCTGTTGTATGAAAATTTAGTAATTTTTTTCATTGTTATCACATCATTCTAAATTAATGTTTGTCAGAGTTTCATTTTACTAAAAATCTTTGAACTTTAAACATCTTGAACTTGAAATCAGTAAGCCTTCCAGAGAGGACATCTTGAGATTACATCTAAAAAGTGAACAAAATTCTGTATTAAAACAAAAGATTTGGATCAATTAAACAGTGTCATTATGCTGGTTGGTTTCATTTTACCCAAATATATTTTGTTTTTTGCTGATTGTGCAGGTAAATAACTTAACCTAATTTTTGTTTAGTTCTTAACCTAATTTTTAATAAGCAAGTTATGAATTAGAGTGATTTTCTTATTGCTGACATGGATATACCAGTGATCATTGCTTCACTGAAGAAGAGTGTTAATACATTTTAAAGCCCCTTTGGATAATATTTCAAGTCAAGTCCCTGTGGAAGACCTAGATTATAGAGTTCTGCCTGTGCTGCAGTTTTGGACATTTTTTCTTTTTTGCAAAATGCTAGGGAAATATTTTTGTTTTATCATTAGTATAGAATACAGTTTAATGATTTTAAAGTTAATTTGTTTTGTCTTTAATATTGGAATACATGTTGAATAACTTTAGGACTCCTTATATTTTATTCATTGTTTTAGGAAACTTGTTTCAAGCAAAAATTATTTATAGTGAAAGTGCAAAGTATGAAGTGAGGCATGAATGAATAGGTATTTGATCTATTATTACATCATGGAGTACATATATCACTGTCATTTTACAGATTAGTTGTTGGACTTTATACAAATTTAGTTATGGTTCAAAAATTTTAAAAAGCCATCAGATTTAATTTTGATATTACTGTAGTACATAGCTATAGTGTATCTAGTTGGACACATATTTTTATAATTATTTATGTAAGTGAAAAATATTTATAACATTTGATAGTACCTCTTATGGTGTGTGTGTAATCATTTTATATTAACTTTTAAAAGAAATAATTTGACTTTTCCAATCTTCTATAGAAAGGAATAGAATACTTTAAGGATTCAGTTACATTTATCACATATTTATTGGCCAGTTATAAGGAAATCCAGTACTACTTTTTTAAGGATCACATTTAGGAATTGTTTACTTTTTGAAAGTATTGTCTTGGAGAAACTTCAAATTGGCTCTTGTTATTAAGTAAGAATATTTGCAGACTTATTAGCTTGGCTGAAACTCCATACTTTTTATAACCTTGATTTATCATATTTATTGATTTATCTGGTTTAATAGTGAATGCAGTGCTATCCTTGAAATTTTAGGGATTTCTTTAAACCACCTGGGTATCATTTAGTAACTTTTTTCTTAATGTGATACAAGATGATAAATATCTTTCAGTTTTGTTCTTATTATTACACAGATTTTTTGAACTGAAATTACTATCTTTTGAGCTTTTTAATTTTGTAATATCTTGCTAGAATATAGATGTAACTACTTAAATAGTTAATATATCAAATAGAACTCAGTAATTTTTTTTTACCTTGTTCAGTTTACAGCTAATTTTTTTTCTAGGAATCAAAATATTTTCTTTTATTATGGTTAGTACAACTTCAACACATCAATTTTTAAAAATTACTTTTTATGGTCATTGAAAGTTTTCATTAGTATATGTTTTTGATGCATAGTGAATGTATTCATCGTGAGGAATTGGTAAATATACACATCGTATTTTGATCTTTTTACTCTCCGTTTCCCTGTTCTTCCTCGCGTGTTTCCCATTATGAGTTTTATAAAAACTCCGAAGCATAGCTGTTCCAGTCTTCTTTGAAACCTTCCTTTCATTTATTTTTATTGAATTGTGAATAATGGATGGTGAGAAAGACTTTTTTGGAAGGAGAACCTTTTAAAATATAAATTTGCTTTCAAAATAAAGAAGACATTTTGTTCTCCCTGAGAACTCTAGGGATGAACCTACGAGGACTAAAGCATGTAGGTGATAAAGAATAAATTAGTAGAAGCTACAAGTGTGAGGTTTGTGCTATTTGTTTCAGTAGTCAAAGGATTCTAAGTGAAATGTTGGCTCATTTTCTGAAGTTCACATGACTGCTGCCACCACAGCAGTTTGGCATCTTTGAGCTTTATGAATGTCTGTACCCCGACTACGGGGAAGGGGTGAATATGGAGGGGAAAGGAGGCACTGACTCTGACATCATACTGTTGTTCTTTATAAGCCTCCCAGTCTGTGTACAATGCTGTTTTCTTACTTTTGAAGAAAAAGGCTATTTTTTCACATTCTCTCAATGAATTTTACATCTCATGCCAAGATATAAAACTGAGACACAGCACTCTGAGACAGAGTAAGGGGGTGCCATTTATGACTCTCCGTGTCTACTTAGAAAAAAGTAGCTAAATTTTGAAAGAAAAGTAGATAAAATACTGACATTAATTAAATGTTCTTATGAAAATATTTAAATTATATACTATTTCCATTTTTTGCTTTGGCTCATGTAGCTCTAACGTGAGGGCGCTCCCAATCTGTTGATTAGAAATGAGTATGTTTTTCTATTCTCGAGTGCTTCCTTGAACAAAAGTTAATATTCAGCTGTTACCTGACCTTGTAAAACTGGAAGGAATTCTGAAAACAAGTACCTTTCATATTAATAGCAATTTATTTAGATTTTAATGCTAGTATCATCACTAAAAACCTTGCGAGCACATAGCTGTTACTACTGGCTCCTGAGACAAGTTAATATGTTTCCTTAAAAATGTATCAGGCTTCTACATTATCTTTATAGTGTCTGGCGTAAAAACAACTTGAGTATTAAGATGGAAATTGTAGTTATGACATATTTTGCCATAAAATACCATTATGTAGGTATAATTTTGCTTGTATATATTATTATTGCAGTTATAATACAGTTAATTTATACATAAGTTCAGATTTATGTACTTACACCTTTTTATATATGTATATACATAGACAATAAATGAATATATTTACAAGGTTTTGCAGTACTATTAATGGTATCACAAGCAATGATTTTCTTCTAATGTCTTAGAAGTGGCCATCTTTTAAGTCTTACTTTAAAAAGATACAATCTCTTCTGTAATTCAGATTTTTAGAATTGTGTGTCTTCTTGACTGTAATACATTTGATGCATTTTACAACCCCTTAGGATAATACTTTGAGTCATGTCCCTGTGGAAGACCTAGATTTCAGAATTTTACCTGTGCTGCAGTTTGGGGCATTTTTTCTTTTTTCAAAATGCTAGGGCAATATTTCTGTTTTATCATTAATATAGAATACATTTTAATGATTTTAAGTGATTTTACTTTATTTTTAATACTGAAGTCTGTTGAATAACTTTAGACTCCTTATATTTTATACCTTTTTTTTAGGAAACTTGTTTTTACAAATAAGTGTGATAACATAGTTACTTTTTAAGACATAAAAATTACCTTTCTTAGGTTATCATTTCCCTAAAAAATTTAACATTCTACCAAATATGCAGAAAATTGAAATTGTAAATGTATCAGAGAAATTTCAACTCATACAAAATAATTGGATGATTTACTTTAAGTTTTAAAGCATTTAAGTAATAATAGTTAAGAATAACTTAGTCTAGAATGACACTTCCTAAAATATCACACTGAAATTAGTTATTGACCTATTATTTGTTCACCTGTACAATTATGGATTTCTAAATTCATGGATATGATCCATTAATTACTAAATTGCTTATCACTGAGGAATAATACTATTTTCTGTTTTTTAATAAGATTAAAATAATTATTTAAGTATTTGCTAATTTAAATAAGAAAAATGAGCCATAAATGTTTCCTTTATTTAAAAATGAAAAATTGGGTAAAATTCTAATTTTTGGATATATTGAGATCCTATACTGTTTTGACTATGTTTTCAAATAAGTAAGATAGAAAAGATAGTCAATCTGATAGACTATTAAATTTAATTATTTACTTTGAAATTTATGGGAGAGTATTACAAATGAATTCCGTATTGCTGTCTTTTCTTTTTTTCCTTTTATTCCACTTTCCATCCTCCTCCTCATCCCTTCATTTAAAATATATTTTAATATTTTAGCTATGGTTATTGGATTATATTGTCCTGGCAGTATGATTTATGCTAAAAATATTTGTAGAACTGGGCACAAATTCCTGTATCACAGCCAGGCATGATGACACACGCCTATAATCCCAGCGCTGAGGAGGCTGAGGTAGGAAGATCACTGCGAGTTCAAGCCAGCCTGGACTACATAGTGAATCCAGGCTGTCTTGAACTACATAGTGAATCCAAGACTCTGTCTCACAAACAAAAACAAAAATAACAAAAGAACTTCCTATATCATAGGATTGGTATTGAGCTGATAAATTTTAAGGGCTCCAGTTTTTTACAGTTTGATGTAATAGTACCTATTTTATTATAAATCTTGGTTGTGCTTTACCTTTGGTAGTTAATTTAGTATTAGATTAATAAATATTCTGTTTTTAACAATTTGGCCAAATATTTTTGAATCAGTTATAAGCATGGTAAATGTATTTGTATTGGTATAATATCAAATTTTCCTGTTTTCCTGTTTTCACAGGCTTTGTGCATTGCCATAATTTTTTTGTTTCCAAGCTCTTAGTTTTCTGAGGAAAATAAATGTATGAGTAACAAAAACTTTTTATAATTGTGTTCCTTAAACAGAGAGTGAAGAATAAGTCGCTGGAAGATGTGGTTATGTTAAATGTTGATACAAACACTTTAGAATCACCGTTCAATGACTTGAGCAGCCTACCAATTGACGTGGTAAGTCTGAAGGATTTTCGGCAAACATATATTTTCTCATGGACCCTTGAGTTACTAAGAGTTATTTTTTTAAGCTTTTATTTGAAATAAAAGGGTTATGTACTGTAAGGCATGTGAGAGGAATCAGTATAGGTTCTATTTTTAATATTTTTACTTTTTGGCAGTGGAGGAGATGTTGAATTGGATCATCATATTCCTTAGTATAAAAGTAGGATCATAATTAAAAGCTAGATGCATTCATTAGGTAGAGTTTCTTTAGACGTAAGTCTCTTCATCTCATCTTAATCATTATATTACAAAGTAGGCATTTCTGTCTGCCTGGTGGCATGTCTTGCAAAAGAATGAGAGAGTTTTTGAAGGCAAGAAGAAGAAGGGGGCCAATTATCTGCTTTAGCTTCCCTGCCACCTGCCAGCGCTGTTCCTTTTAATTAATGATCTGATGGCACTGGTCAATATAATAAGAAATGCTTGTACAGTTGGGGTCAGAAAATTCTGGCTTTGATCTCCCTCAACTTTCTGAAACATTTATTTGTTTTCTCTAAATTATTTCAGTTTTATTTTAATCTTTTCTATCCTGCTGAGGGCTGCAAGAATGAAAACCTACACTGTTTGTCATTTGCTTTGGCAGAGCAAAGACTGCTTACTTAGAATTCTATTTGTAAATTAAACTGCAAACCCAGTTTGTCATAAAAGACATCTGATCCTTTTGAAATGATGAAAACTCTCTTTTGTCTGTAAAGGCTGATAAATTAAGTGCCAGTTCTCTTCTGGTCTTTGATCTTGCAAAGGGTGTGTGTGTATGTGCGTGTGTGTGTGTGTGTGTGTGCGCGCACATGCACACACGCACACATCCACTTGTATGCATGTGTGTCTCTAGCTTATACTGGGACGTATTTGAGATTTCATATTAGTATCCAAAAATACATTTTTTGCCTTATTTTTCCTTGGTATAGGCAGATGTCCAAACTAGTTATATTTCTCTAAATAATATACTTAATAACTGTGTAAATACATCTTTGTAACAGTTCTAAGTTAAAATAATTCTTTAAAAAATAAAGATGTTCATTCTTTAAATGGATATTAAAATTGGGGAATTAAAAAACCCTCTAAATATACCTTTTTGTAAATCACAAGTACTTTGAAATTCATCATTAAGGAATTTGAAAAAGTGAATTTAAGAATCTAAAAGTCAAAAAAATAGAGCAATACTAACCTTTATCTGATGGCTAGTGATAAAATATGATTTCAAAGTAAAAGGTTATTTATGCCCATAAATACCCAAAATACTTGTCGACCTTGAAGTACCTTAAACTGAACTGCTTTATCTTGCTGTAGTAAAATTTATGTTAGGTATGAACAAATCCAGACTCAGGCAAAGGAACAATTACTATATTTTCTCTTTTTAGCTCATTATAGCTAGATTGCCTCCTTATAAAATTCAGCAGAAACTGCTAGAAATGATTATTCCTTTAGAAATCCGTTGAAGTATTCTCCACTGGATAGAGAAATAATTATGAAAATAGAATCGCAACTTTTAAGAACATTTTCCTATGCATATGTTTCCTGCTGTTAATCCCTTGAGAAATAATTATTAAAAAGAAATAAAAAGAAATTTAGCTTTTCTGTATATGATTTTAAAAGTTTTATAGTCTGCTTCAGAGAAAGGATTTCTTGAGAACCTTTAAAACGCAGTTTTTGGTGGGTGATTCTTTTTTACTTAAAAAGTATTGTAGGATTGGTTTGGTGAATAAGACAATTATTTAAATATGCAGGGGAGTGAAATACTATCCACAAAATATATACGCTTAAATATATGACAACAGAAGAGCTCATGTAGTACATTCATGAGCAACTGTATAAGTGAAGAAAGCTCGAATATATATGTCAGAAGCAACGCTGAAACAGTATAGATTGATTACATAGATGCTTGAAATTGAAGACCACAGATATATTTGAACACTAACAAATTTGAGAACTGAACAAATCTATCTCGGAGATAGAGCTAGGACCATTTGTTGAGAGTATGAGATGTTTTAAAATTATAGTAAACATTTTAAAAATATTATAGGTGATTATCCAACCCATCTCCAATATATTTAGCTTTATCATCAGTTTTCCAAGGCTCTCTCTTATTGTTCCCAGGAAATCTGATGAAGTGTCACAGCATGTTTCTAAAATGATTTGAAATGAGATCTGTTTAAATCACAATGACCTTACTGAAGTTTTGTGTGTGATTTGCATTAATAAGGTATACTGGAACCCTGAGAAATATTACTACTGCTATTGTTTGTTTAATAAGTTAACTGAGATTTGACTTTTAGAATCATCCACTGAAGCATTTAAATTATACTTACAGGCTAGATGACTTTCTGTGCATGTGCACTCCATTACTGTGTTAGATTGACCAGTGATCTTGGCTGTTCAAAGGTCATTGGTCACAGTTGTCCTGAATTACTAGTTCTTTTTTCCTGTGGACCCTCTGCTGTGTTGCATGCTGTAATCTTCTTAATGGCTTCATTCCAATATTCACACATAATATTTTAGATTTATTGACTGTTAGAAATACTACCATGCCAGTAGCAGTTCCGCTCCTCTTAAGGTATTTAAAATTGGAAAAATAAATCAGGGCAAAGCTTTCCAGAATCCTTTGTTTTCCTTAAGGGAGGGGAAGAAACTCTCTTCCTGTCTTCTGACAAGAACACTTGTTTGTTGATTTCATCATTTCACTATTGTTTTGTATTATTAAAGCAAACAAATATTTTTATTGGGAGCAATTTTAGTGATCTTGTTATATGATGAAACATTTAAAAGTAGTAGATGTATTAAAATATACTTGTTTTGTGTATAAATATATTTGACTGTATTTTTAATGGCTATGTAAAGACATCTTCAAATATGTAATTTGAATGTTTTGAAATAAAATAGTAGATTTTATGGCTAAGTGAATGTCAGTCAAATAGTATTGTATTATGTTTGCATGGTAAAAATAACCATGTGAATTAAATGTAACATTTGAAACCTCAAATGAATTCATTTTAAGAAAATAGACTATGGAAGCTTCCCATTCCAAATACATACATAAATTTACTTCTGATTACATGGTAATTTAAAATGTACTTCTAAGGTATTATTGCTCAGTTCAATTTTTATCATCATTAACATTGTTAAGTGTAATTTGAATAAGTGTTCGTACTGAAAAAATAATGGAGTAATCCAGTTATTGGAAATTAAACTAGTAAGTAGAGTTATATAACAAGATTCAGGAAATCTATCCTCATATGTATATTAAACAGAAACTAACTCCTATATATGGGAGCAGCTTAGAATTGACATCTAAAGATGCCACATCAATTACAGTAGGCAAATGAATTTTGGCCTGCATTGCCTACCTGTCTTTAAATAACTTTAACTCATTGGGTTTTACAAAATAACATTCTAAAGTAAGTCCCAGTGCTTATCCCTATTTTAGGTAAGAATAATAAGGCACAGAAAATATACTGCTCATGGTGTATTTAAAGCTTTAGTTCATACAGATTTATCCTTAAACCTGTACCCAAAACACTAAACTATGGTTCCTTGTGTATAAATCTACTACATAATATAACAACATTTAAAATTTAGTATAGATACTTACTCGCCATTATAATCTTAGTAAGGAAAAATCAAATGGATGTCTTCAATTTAAATTATTAGCACTATGTTTAAAAATTTATTTTCATTTTGTACATAATACTATTGGAAAATAATTTTCTATTTTCTTTTATGAGTATGTATTGGAAAATGTAGTATATTTAGGAGAACAATTCACAGTAGATCACAATATTTAATAAGATATAAAGCATTTTAAAGTGCTAAAACATTAGAAAGTCCTTATTATAAAATGGTCTTACTGAAAATACCATGCATGTTAATAATGAAGCTTTCAAGTATTATATGAAGGAATTTGTTAATGATTTTGTGATGTGAAGAAATGCAGATTACTCAGAATCGCTAAAATTATGTAAGCCTAAAAGTCAGAGAAAACTCCTAGAATTTTGACTTTACATAAGATTTTTGGATACCTACATTCAAGTAAGTTTATTAGGAATAACTTTTGAAAAGAATTAAATCAACTTTTAAAAATATTAAAGAATATAAACCAAATTATTACTGCCATGTACATTGTCAATAGATGTTTAGTTCACTGAATATTTCCTCTAATCTAAAATGAAGGTTTAATATGTTAAATGTCATAATATATGTTGTAAAGAATAAAAAGGCCCCAGAGAATATTTATATTAGTTCCAGGTTTGCTACAGTCTGCCATAATCCTGTAGTATTTAATGGTAAGTGAAGTCCCTAACAAATTTCTAGGGTGGCCATATTAGAAAGATAAAATAATTTTACTCAGCTTATAGCAAAGTTTGTAATAGGTTTCATTTAGTTTTTAGAGTGGACTTCAAGAGAGAAATTGTGCTTTCAGTTTGTCCCTTGGAGAGGTGTCCTCCTGTGCAGATGCTTTCCCTTTGGGTTTCTAGCTGTTAGGGTTCAGGCGTCTGGCTGTGCATTGCCCCTACCACCTAGCCTTCCTACAGTACATGTAATGCCTATGATAAGTGAGCATTCAATAAATGATTGTCAAAGGGGAATAAAATTTTACTTCTTTGACTTTTGTAATAGATGTTTGCTTTTAAAATCCCTGTTTACAGTTATCTCCCAGAATGATTTATAAGGGCATTTTTCTTTGACTTTCATAATAATGAAAAGAAGAAACTTGGAAGTATATTTAAATAATACTTTTGTAATGGATGCTAGGAAACAGGAATGTAGGGAACTAGACCTCTTGCAATGGGGAGGGGGTGTGGGATGGAGAGAGGGAGAGGAGGGGAGAAGGGAAGTAAAAGGACTAAGGTGTAATGTGCATATGCACCAGGACCCTCTGGTGAATGCATCACAAACATGCACTAATTTTAAAAAGTCCCCAGTAGCAAAACTAAACAAATAAGTAAATAAATACACTT